TTTGTTTTAATTTGATGTAAACCGCCCAGAGTCCCCCATTGTGGGGAGATGGGCGGGGATAGGTCTATGTATAAATAAAATAAATAAATAAATATAGCTAGACAGGACTGTGTGACTCTGGAATTGTGTACTTTAAATGCATCCCTCTTTTTGTATGATGGATCTAAGTGGAACATGTATTATTTTGATATTAATTCAGACAATAAAGGAATCAGCTATAAAGAACTTCAGGGAAACGTCTAACATTCTTTTCTCACCTGTATGGCCCCGGGCCTGGGAGAGGACCATTACAATCTGGCCGTGAACGATCCAGAACACACCCTGTTTCGCTCCCCACACGCAGGACGGCAATATTTTTGCTTTCTTTGGGGCAGGGGTAGTTTGAAATTACAGTGTTCAGAGTCATGTAGTAAGAATTCTTCTCAAAAGCTTGGTAAGGCAGATCCGCAGGGGCTTTGGGGTTCATGAAACTATCCACAGCTGCAGGCACAAGGGGTAAACCAATTATTTCTCTAACCCACCAAAGCTAAAGTCCTTAGTGGTAGATCCATCATTCCCTCTCCACCAAACCGTTTCTTTAATGGAGCAGAATAAAAGGGGGAATCACCTGGTGGCCTACTTTCCATCTTATTCTGCTACTGTTAGGTACATTAAAGGATAACAATTGGAATAACCAAAGGCCGCTCCCTTTGGGACAGCCCGTGCTTAGCACATACAGTCATGTTTCCAGTGGACCTGAAAAGTTCTGTCTTTTTGATAGTTAGATGTGTTGACAGTGTAAATTGATGCCTGTGGTTCCTCTTCCTCACATTCTCTGCTTTTGCCTGATTTTTGTCCAGCTTTGCTAGTTCACTCAGCAACAGTTGTTGCTTGCTGATGTTTATTTATTAACACCAAGCTCCATGATTTTTTTGCTGGCTGAACTGAGCAGCCTGCGTGCTGGCTCTGATCTGGATACAGAGATGGACTGGGAATGTGCTTGAAGCAAACTAACCTGGAGATCCAACCCAAATTTTCCAAAAGTCAGGATGGAACCGTGGGTACCAATGAAACTGCCACATGGCTCTCCCTTGATGCCTTTTGGGTTCCATTCCCACGTGGTTGTCATGGCAGAATCCCTCCATGGACTCGACCTTCCAAATGTGACATCTGGCCAAAAAGGTTGGGGGCACCTGCATCAGGGTATCCTGCTAGACTGTTCTTTAATTGCCCTGCCTTCTTTGCAGAACTTTACAAAGGTCCAGATGATAACTTTTTGTATGTCTAGATCAACCTCCCACTTTTCTCATAGCTTTAGCCATCTTTTTCTCTTTCTGAACAAAAAAAATCAAAGAGGGAAAGGCAAGATTCAATGCTTTTGGATTGTGCAATGCTGTTTGACTGGGTTAACATGTGTTTCCAGATTTGGTTTTTATTGTGGTTTTATACTTGGTTTGCAGAAGTCTACAAGGGTCCGGATGACAACTTTTCCCATGTTTAACTTCCAAAAACAAAATAGTTGCACATTTCTTTTTGAAGGCTAGAAATCTCTCGGCTGGAGGACTCTGCATTCTTGCACGAGCCAACAACCCTCAGTCTTGAGAATAGTTAAGGAAGAAGTTGGATCCAAAAGAGGAAGCATTTTAACAACTGCCTAACCAAAATTGATCAAGAAAACTGCAAAAGGTTACATTAAGAATGAAATAGGAAAAGGGAACTTTTCAGATACGAGGACCAGAAAAGGAGAACTCTGAAAAAAACAGCAACAGTTGGGTGGAAGTATGTTGTACAAAGTGGTCCCTTCTTATGAACTGCCAGTTAATCATACCCCTAATTTACCATTGAGCCAGTCTGGTGTAGTGATTAAGGCACCAGGCTAGCCCACACGTCTTAAAGTTCCCAAGATTGAGATAGGCTGCCCTAAGGATCTGATAGAGTAGCGTTTGGGGGTGAGGGAGGGCAGGGGGAGGGAAAAAGGGACAAATCCCAAGTGCTAGTGAAAAGTGTTTATCTGGCCTGATGCATTTTGGAAAATAGTCCTTTTGCCAAGGGCAGTTCTAGAATGACTGTAAACTAATCAACTGTCTGCTAAGCAAAATGGACTGTTTCTCAGTGAGCCAAACAAATATTTTCCACTGGCAGTTGGGATTCTACCCTCATTCCCTTGCCTATTTCAGTGCCTACCCTCTTGGGGGGGGTAAGGGGGGGGGCAAAAGCTACAATAGGTGGGTTGATACTGCAAAGTGAATAGGTGGGATCCAGATTTGGGAAGAAGAGATTGCAGGGGTCCTTAAAAAAAATTTTTTTTTAATCTATTTTAGAGCCTATACTATCTGGAAAAAAGCCAGGGCATTATTATTATTACTATCATAATAATCAATTATCAGAATATTAGTCTTCTGCTTTGCAATCCATTGTGAATGCAAGGGCCTGGACCATTCCAAGCTGCAAAGGGCATTTCTGCACACATGGAGTGCAATCATTCCTTGTGATAAAGTAAATTCCCTTAACATCCAATCAGGGCCCAGCCCAGCTGTTTTCCTTTGTTGCTCTGCAGATGTTCAGTTCATTTGGAAATAAGTATATGCATATTGCCATAGTGAAAAAGACGGTGCTAGGGGGCTGGGTTATGTTACTGCAATATCCCTGGAATGTGCGAGTCTTGTTTGAAGGGTTGGTTTGGGATAAAAGATAAAATAAATCTGTTAGGCTTAGCGAAGGCTTAATACCTATTTTAATTCCTGCCCTCCCCCAACCCCACTGCCGAAAACCATTGATTCTGCTGCTGAATTTCAATTCACACTGTTGGGGGACTGCAAAAAAGTTCTGGGGACTGCAATTACCCCATCCAATCCTACGTGAAGCGATAATGGCACTCCCAAAGCTTTGTCTAATGGAATGTTCTACCTTGAAACTAAACTGGACCATAGAGACTGTAACCATAGTTTGTCTTTGAACCAAGGACAACCTTCAAAGAGAGAGGTGATCCACGCAAAGAACACTGCACGGGCATTTAATTTGCACAGTAAGGCTACTGACCGCATCTCCTGGCTTTTATGGAGTGTAATTGCGGTTAGCATTTTTTCAGGAACGCCCAAGGGTTGATATCTCAGTAAATATGAATCACCGCAATTGAGATGTAGATCTGTTTCTCTTGAAAGGGCCACCTGGTGGTTGGTTATTCCCTCTCTTTTAGACATTATTACTAGTGCATTGCTAAGAATCATAACACACCTTTGCTGAGAGCCACAACCAGCCAGATCCCATCCGTGGGATCGACAGACTTGTTGAAAACACATCGCGGTTGCTCTAGAACAAAAGTGGAGGCAGTGATCTTTCCTCCCATTTTCTCAGAAGTGAGATGAGGGGTATAGTTAACCAGCTCTGGAAAAAGAAAACAAAATGAGTTTTCCCCTGCATTTGGGCCCCAAAGTGCAAAAGCTTCTCCATATAATACTTTCTGCACTGGGTTAATCATCAGAGATAGTTGTAGAATTAAAGCATTCCCATAACAACTCTTGATCCAGTCAACCTTGAGGTGTGATTATGGCCAGTTTGTTGGTCAAACCAGAGACTTGGATCAACTGGGTTTAAGATGAAAGGCTGTTATTACTTTTACCCCAAGTATGTAGTAAAATTCCACATTTTAGCCTGGCTTCTTTATATCATTTGTACCCAAATAGGAACTGAGTCTGTGGTTAGCTCTCCCTTCTAGATGTGGGCATGAGAATGGGAAGCTAGAGCAGGGACAAAATGATGGTGGTGGTGGTGTTTCCTAATCTGCACAGGAGGTCAAAAAGGGCAAGATGGTGGTCATGGTCATGACACTGTGATCAAAATCCCACCCCTTTTGTATGGATGCCTGTACAAAGGGGAGGGGCTTTGATCATATCTTTGTGGCTGCTAATTTGCCTTTTTTAACCATCCCCTGTGGATATTGGTGGTGGATAATAATGGCATATCTCTCCCTCACTTTTTTATATCATCCCCATGAGCATGCTGGAGGAAGGAATTAAATGAAGACATAAAATGGGAGAGACTTCACCTTCTCCAATCCCATCTGCCATAAAGTTGACTAAACCCCAGCATTTCTTTGAGTGTTTCAAGAAGAGAGCTCTTGCTTCTGGTCTAGTTAAAATGGGATCTGCCAGTTCCTGAGTTAGCAGAAAGCTTTGTCGGGTGTAAAATCTGCTGCTTCACAGCTGATCCCTATCCAACCTCAGGCATTATGTTGGCAAATGGTGCTATGTTGATTTAAGGGGTAGAGGCATGGATCAGTGGAGTCCCCTGGCTTTGTTTCCCTCCCCTCCCACCAGACATCGCCAGTCTGCAGAGAAAGATCCACCAAACACTGTCTTTAAGGTGGGATGGGGCTGGGGCTGGGGAGGAGGTGAACGTGGATACATGGCCAGACCATCAGTTTCAACCCATGGGCATCCATAGGGAGGGAGGAAGGCAATTATGAAACATGCACTGCGACACTAGCTCCTCCCCTTTTACACTTGGGTCATGATGTCTCACACAAGCGCATAAGGGCAGAGCTGGCATCATGACATCATGATGCACATTTCATCGTTCTGATGAAATCTCGGCTTGCTCCAGAAACTCCTGGTTTAGACATTTGTCGAAGCTCACAGTGCACTTGCCCAAGAGTTTTTTGTATGCACATTTAAAGGGAGGTTGAATGTAAGCCAAGGCTGCAAGTATGGTTGTGCTATGTTAGATGCCCATGAGGGAAACTCAGCAATGTCAAGTACCATCATCCAACCATCCACCAGAAAGGTGGCAGGGATACCCATCAAGATTGTTACTACTCAGAGGTGGCCGTAGCATGTTGAGTCATAGTCTCAAGAAAACTGCAGGGACTTGTCCAGGCAGTCGCCAAGAGTCAACACTAACTCAAAGGCACAAAAAAGAAAAAAGAAAAAAACACCCAAAAACAAACAAAAAAGGGAAGTGAAAACCTCAGTGCCAAAGATCTGGGCCTGTAGTTAGAGGATAAAGATTAAAGGAGAGATAAAATGTCTGTTGTTTCACAGCTTGGCGTTGCAGGGAAATTAGAATCAGAGATCTCTGACAATGAGTAGAAGCAGAAAACAAAAATCAAGAGTTAATACAAATGTTAGGGAGCTGGGTGCAAGAGAAAGACGGTGGGGAGAAAGAAGTGCAGCAAAGGTTTAGCTCAGTGCAATAGTTAGGAGAAAGGAAGAAGGAAAATAGCTTAGAAAGAAGCAGCGTAAGAGACAAGCCTTAAAGAAACAAGGCTGGGTAGCCTGTCTCTCGTTCTCTGACAGGAAGAAGAAAGGCTACTCATGAGTAAGCAGTAAATAAAAGGGAGAAAACAGAGGCTTCCCCTCCTGCAGCTAAGAGAGAAAGGGGCAGCTTAGGAAACATCAAGGAGAGTCAGTTGACTCTGCTCCACTAATGGGGGAGAAAGAAGCTGGTGCTTTATTGTGGGGTGGTGGTGGGGGGGAGGAATTGCCCAGGGAATCATAAGCCCGTGCAGTTAGTCCCCACTTCTTATCCCAGTTCCTGTCTTGCTGCGATCCTGTTCATACAACAGGAGCAACGGGATGGGAGCTTCATTCCTTTTCCTGCGGGCCTATTGCTCCTCCTTTTTGTAGGAGTTTTGGGACATGGCCCCCTAATTATGGAATGCCTTCCCTACTCTGGTTCCTCACATCTTTGCATGCAGCTAAGAAAGATTTGAAAACTTATTTAATAAAGTACTGTAGAGGAGTATGGAAATGGCCTTGAAGAAGGAATTCAACAGCTGTTATGTAAAGGACAGCTTAGCCCTGGAAGGGAGGAATGAGTGACACAGAAACTCAAGATTGTCCCACCTTGATTCTCTTTGGTATAAGAAATTTGGGGGTGGGGGAAGAGAGAAGATCTCTGCCAGGCTTTCAAGATTCTGTTACTGTACCCTACAACAGTGAAGTAGGGTTCCGGTAATCCCCGTGGAGTCTGTTTTCTGACCTGAACTATTAGCCTGAAAAATGGATTGATTGGTGGAAGCAGTTGTGAATGGATGTGGAGAATGGTGGTTAGTGAGTTAGATGGCAAGCCTGTTTCACTGTAAATACTATTAGCAAAGTTAGCAGGGGCATCTATGAGGAGAGTCAAACAGTGTGAAAATGGTGGGTACAGCTGGTTGATCAAAGCCCCTTCCTATTTATGTGTATGCAGTGTGTGCAACTTGTGTCAAAAATTGACAAGGTTTCAATCACCTGTCTGCACCTGCCATTGACATTTTTGACATCTATTGCCCCTATTGGGGGCATTCACCATGGGCTCAAGATGGCTGATGCAACTGCACAAGGTCCTGCCTGTTTCTTATGTGCAAGGCACGCCCCAAAGGGTTGGATCTTCAATCACAAAGTTGTGTCTGCCATCTTGACTTTTTGAACCCTCCTGTGGATTTTCCTGCAGCTTAGAATCTACCTTGCTGTCTGGAGACCTGGTGCCAGGCTTATTTCAAAGTGAATTGTAGAGGAGCTGGAGAGATCCTTGCTTAGATATTTTGGGGGATCCAGCTCTTGAACCCAGGAGGGTCTCTGTGTTAAATGGAGGCTACATCACAAACCATAGCTTTAGTTTTCCCTCAAAAAAACAGAATAGAAATAAAAGTTTCCCTGAAAACAAATCTTACTTTTAAAATAGAAACTCTTCATCCTTTTAGTTGTCTGAACGTGCATATTACTAGAAAATTGAACAGGACATCAACCAGAAAACTGTCCATATAAATCTAGGGATACTAGGACGTCAGCTAGATTATGATTACTAAATGTATTACAAAAATTCTTGATAGCCTTAACTATTTCACAAGTTAGAACATTTTCCATGGATCGGCTTTCAAGTAGCTTTTCTGCTTGGCTTTCATCAGTTCCATGTCATGATCTGTTGCACTAGGTTGTTGCCTATGACAGTTTATGCTGTCTGATAATTTAAAATCTTCTCAAAACTGAAGTCTAAAAATGCCATTGAACATCATTCTTATTCTTTAAAAACAGAAACTGGAGAATTGAGGGTTGAACAGCCTTAATGGACCTTTTCATAATTATGGTCCTGATTTTCACCTTATTTTAGGCAAGGCCTCTATACAAATCATCATTCATTCTCTTTCCACCAAATCACTTGTACATTGATTAATATTTTCCCTGTGAACACTGAAAAATTAGGACTTCATTAATAACCTGTCCATTAAAGGAACAAGTCATAATTGGCAAGAAGTAGAAATTGCAATCCAAAGGCTGTGTTTGCACAACATGCTTAATCTGATTACTGAATTAATTAGTTTTCTGGATTTGCATAAAACATTGAACCATGTATCCACCAAACTGATTCATTTACCAAATCATTTTTAGCAGCAAAAAAATGGAGCTTAGCGTGTTGTGGGAACATTTCTCCCCTTCCTGGATCTTCCACCACATTTCATTCAGTATGCTCGCACAGAGTCAACATCCTTTCCCCTCCTACCCTAAAGAAAGTGCATTTTGCTGAGGAATGCTCATTTAGCCTGAAGGCGTTGGATGAGAGACATAGCAAGTTATCTTTTATACCTTCAATTCCAAATGAGGATTTCATTAATTTCCCCTGGAATTCACTGAGACAACAACAAAGCAGCAACTTTCCTACCTCCTGCATGTACAGCATTGATTGTCACCCCAATCAACAGTACCACGGAGAGAGCCATCACTTCTATCACAGAGGTCTCCTTCTCTGTCCTGCAAGAGTGCCTCTGGGAGAGTTGAGTAGAGAGGTTTCTTTCCCCCTCGCCACCCCACTTGTGGTCCTGCCTCATCAAGCCTCGCCCATACACCTTGTCCATTTTTGGAACACCTGTACATTTTTCTTCTTCTTCTTCTTCCTCAATAGAAAGGGGCAAGGGAGGGCTGGCAGCAAACAGGTAGGGCTAGTTTTCAAGAGGGAGAGGTAAATTGAATGTGAGCAAGCAAGCGGATCAACTAGAACAAAGAGGACTATAGGGAGGGGAGTTGAAAAGTGTCTCACCTGGACTGGCATTCTCTGGATGCCACATAGAGGTGATTAGTTTCAGAAAAAGACTGAAGATGTATGCTCTTTGTCTTGGAGATCTTGAATTGAAAGGGCAGGGATTTACTGTGGAAGTAGATGTGTTTCTCAAGATCTTGCATGTTCCACAGGTTGACCTGACATTAAGTAGGTAAAGGAAAACCAGTATGGTGTGATGGTTAAAATACTGGAGTAGCACTAGGGAGATCCAGCTTCAAGTCACCCTCGCTGGTAAATCTGTGCAAATCACTCATTCTCAGCCAAATCTATCTCAGTGTTTTTGTCTGGAGGATAAAAGGAAGGGAGAGCCTGCATATGGCTCCTTGAGACCCAGGAGGGAAAGAAACATAAGTAATAAAATGCATAAATTAATGAATACAATATGCTCCTGAGCTGAAATGCTTTCCATCTGACTTTGAGCTGGCTAAAAATTGTATCAGCATGAAAGTTTTTGTCTCTGCTGCTGAATCTTCTTCTGTCTCTGTTATCTCCATCTGAAGTCCCTCAGTCACCTGACTTCCCTCCAAGTTGATGGGTGTCAAAGCCTAAACAGATTTTATACATCTGGAGCTGCCCATGGATGGTGTCACAAGAAGTGGGGAAATATGACTTCAACGCTTGCATGGCAATGGACAACCTAAAGCTGCAACATGAATGGGCTGGCAATAAAATGAAGGCAACATCAAGAGGACCTGGCAGAGATAGGTCGTCTCTGTCTATGAAGTTTCCAACAAATTACAATTGTTTTTATTGCTTGTTTACTCTTTCATTTTAAATGACATCATGGGCTTTGATTAGTTTACCTCTCATCAGTATGACTGATCTCTTGTTAGTAGAAGGTTGGGAGATGGCTTCTCAAAGAGACTTCATATTTTGTAGATGATTGCTTCTGAATACGGAGAAGATGGACAAATCCCCACTGACATCAATGCCTGTCCATAGAAATGGGCTGGGTATTCCCTGCTTGGTTTGTTTGATTTTTGTATGGTCACATCTCTCCATCTCTATCTATATTGGGTAATGGAAGAGAAAAGCTGAAGAACCCCAGGAGGGAGAATAGAAGAAGGAAAGATCTATGGGAGGAGATGTGAGAGACTGGGCGGAACAGCCCCTGCCCCCAAAAAATCAGGATTGTCTGACCTAACCTTCTTTCCATCATAGCAACCTTTCCCAATTCAGAATTCCCCGTGGCAAGTAAACAAGCTGGCTAGGGAGGATGGAAATAATAGTCCTGAACACCTGAAAGACAAAAGATTGGGCAAAAGTGCTTTAAAGGATTAAAGGTTGAACCAGAGAACCATGTGTCAGGAAGGAAAGCAAGCAGGGAAAGAGAATTAGCAGCACAGTGCACTGGAGATGGTATTGTCATTATTTTGAAGGACCTTTAGAGAAAATATCCTCAGTGGGTTCCAATCCACAAATGGGTCTGCTTTCTTTCCACTCTCCCCAGGTCCCCTTTGCTTATTCGCCTCTCTTGGGTTTAATTCACACCACTGCCCAGAAAGAGGAGGGGCAGGTAAGGTTAAAAACACGAGGATTCCTGAGTCATACAGTAGCCAGTCAGATACGCTCAGGAGGGCGATAGCTTTCTTTCAGTGCTGTTTCATAATGCTAGTTTATAAAGCATGTTGTTTCTGATTTTTGAGGTAAGAGCTATCTAAGGGCTTTTTCATACTGTAGCTTCTCTCCCACATGTAAATCATCTGGAAATGAATCTGGTTTAAGGAGTCCCTTTCTGTATTTCAACGCCTTTCTTTGCTTTGGCCACAGTGGTGTTCTGACTGGACCACATTTGCCCTTGCTCCAAGTGATGGATCCCTCTGCTTCTAAAGAAACCCTCCAGGACTGGTTAAAAAAAGAACACACCATGGTTTTGTTATTTTTCTATCACGTGGGCCAGAAAGAGAAAGTATCTGGATTCTTATCCAATTCACCTCAATTCTTGTCAATTTCACTTGTCAAAAAAAGGCTCATCCTTCCTTTGTTCCACTGAATCTTGTTAAAATTGGTGGGGGGGGGGGGTGACCAGAGACAAGAGGAGAAGTGGCATTCCCACCATGGGTCCAGCAATCATTTGGAACAGAGGCCCTTACTTACAGGCAGTTGAAACACAGCACACAAAGTGAGCACTAGGGTTTGAGTTGGCATAAGACAGAAAACACTATGTTTGACGTAGAGTCAGAAAAGGCTGGCAGGGATTGCATTATCTGCTGGCTGGGGAATTCTGGAAATTGAAGTCCATATATCTTAAAGTTGCCAAGTTTGAGAAATGCTGCTCTAACCTAAACTAGTAGGTTTACTAACCCAAACTTTGGTGCTATTATTATTAAGAATCACACTTCTCAGAAAAACAGCCAGGTGATTGCTAAAAATCTGAATAAAATATATGACAACTGCAACGTCATAGATAGCAATCAGCATTTAAAACACCAACAGAGTGTACCAAGAACCTAGTAACGTGGCTGGGAAAACTGTAGTGTTTGAAGGCAGCTGGCACGGCTTCAAAAGAAGGGAGTTTTGTAATGACAGTGCCACACCTTCAAAGGGTAATCGTCCCCGGCCATTGCCCATTTGTGATACTGCAAAAGCTTTTTCCAGGAATCTGAAAGGACAGACAAATACTTAGTGGGACACTCCTATCCTCTATGCATTTCTCTTGTCCCCATCTAAATGGATGGTTTCCACCATATCTAGTTGCAGTGACTTCCATAGTTTAAATATACATTTGCTTATATGTTAAGTAACTAAGTACTTCCTATTACCAATGTTTAATTTGTCTATATGGTCCTTCAGTGGTGAATAAGAACTGTCATAGTAAGAAGGAAAACAAAAGAGAGTATTATCTATCAAGCCACACCTAGCTGCATGTTATCTTCACCTGATCAAAACCATTCCTTTGAAAAGAATACATGTAAACACCAAGAAAATGTTCATGAGTGTCTGCTAATGTTCATGCATGGATAAGCACCAATGATAAGCAGAAGTTTCTGAAAAAATGGGATCAACTGATTAGAACACACCTAGCAAATTCTCTGATTGTTAGCATACTGTAGAATCATAGGACCATGAAATTCATTGATTCCTAAATGGAGAACAGCCTTTTGTGAATCCTGAAAAACAGGCCATCTTGACAACCCTCTGCTCAGACTGTCTCAACCTGGCAGCCTCCAGACATGTTGGACTAAGACTCCCACCTTCCCCAACCAACATCTCAAAGACAACTGACCGGAGGGGACTGATTTACATAAATCCACATTTTACCCTCCCTTTTTAATAACTAGAGTAATAAATGCAGTTGACCATATTACATTAACAAAGAATCATAAAAATCAAAACAAGGTTAAAACCATTTAAAAATAAGATTTAACTATGATTTAAATATGAAGATAATACAAATGGGATTCAATGGAAGGAAGGGAGCAATTCCAGGAAACACCAAAGAAAAATGAGAATAGGTATGGTGGCAGCTGTTTTGAGAAATTCCTCACTTCAAGGCCTTACTATTGAAATGAGTAACAGAAAACATATTTCAGATGCTTCTCTCCTCTTTGGGAAGGCTTATGCAGATTGAAAGTGGCACACAGAAGTTTCTCATGAGTGGTTGCCCATTCTAAATGCAATCCCCACCTCACACAAATACACATAAAAAACAGGCTTAACCATAGTTTCAACTGGGAAACTCTCAGCATTTTAGACCAAGCTAAATCCAAAAACGCGAGGGAATTCCTGGAAGC